ATCTGGGAACTGCTTAAAATTGCACTAGACTTCTTCTGTCATACAAGGGCAGTTAGATTTTTCATGTAGAAATAGAAAAAAAAAAATTGTGTGTGCATACATTTGCATACATATATTCTAAGATCAGAATTCGTTTTTAAAAAGTCCCCATTTTTGAATGTGCTAAGCCAGCTTTGAATAGTAGCAATAATGGAATACACAGAAAAGAATTCTCATCACTTTCAATATGATCATCACACTGTACAATAACGTATCTTCTTTCTTGACTCCAGCTTAACAGACTGTACCTATTTGTAAAATACTGAAACAATTATGATAGGAGCAAGATATTTTTACTCCAAATCTACCAGTAAAGTGGGTCAGGGAATTAATTTTTCAAATTTTTATGGTATTAACCTTTGGATATTCCATTATTTTCACAGTATTTTTTAAAATGTGACTAAACTGAAATTTAAAAAATGAAATCAATAGGTTCCTTTTGTTGTATTACTGTTTCCTCTATCTACACTGCCTAGCTTAAGAAAATAAACGTGAACAGTCTTTCTTCCTTATCTTTCACACAAAGAATTTATTGAATATATATTCCATATACTGTATAGAAAGTGATCAGATTAGATAAACGAAAAAGGCAATAAATACTGTCTCATTGTTCTCTCTTTCTTCTTTCTACTAAATTCACATGAAGTGACATGAAATACCCTAGGAGATGTTTTATCTACTAAAATACAGAAGTACTTCACAGCCTCCTACTAAAGTGTCAATTACAGTTATGTACGTAAGTTCAAACTTCAAGTACGCCTTGTGTTGATTACCTTTTGCATTTCCTGAGACAGGAAATTTTCAGGAAATCATTTGCATCGTGGAGCAAAATACCTTAACTACAGGGAAGAGTCACTTACAAAGGAAATATGAAATGATGAAATTATTTTTTAATTTTTTGTATTTATTTTATTCACTTTCTAAACTCGTATTATTAAAAAATATTATCACACACTCCATTTAAATCACACTTTTTGGGCACATATTTATTGTTCATGAAAGTATTCATACATAAGCAACTAGTTTTTTTGTAAACGTCATAGGCAATTAAAAACATTGCCTACTTAAAAGTAGCAGAATCCAGCCTGTAATTTTAATACAATGATATAGTACTTTAAAAATAATGACTTCAGTTATATGCATATATATAATAGACACACACACACACACACACACTTGTTTTTATATATGCATGTAAGCAAATGCATCGCTGCCACAGCCAGGTAGGGTATTAAAAGAAATGTATTTTTTTTTATTCATGTTCAATACATAGCAAAGATACACTCTCCATTCACAACAAAATCATACCTATACAATATCAAATTCATATCAGGCTTTTCTGCAGTGCCAATAATCTTGTAGATTCTCTTTACTGAATATTACAACTCTGAAGCCTTAGAAATACAATCAGTTTAGAAGTTTATGCAACATTTAACATGCTGGTCAAAAGTAAAAGATAAAAAAAGAATGAAATACTGACACTATCTTAAGCAAGTAGAAGGATGAGGACCAATACTTGTAAAATACCTTAAGACTGGGAGAGAGATTTTCAGTTTACATTAAGTGGTAAATAATTTGTCTGTAAATACTTTATTTCCTCTTTTTAGGTACACAAGAGTCACAAAAAAAAAAGTGCCCTAAATTACAGTACGTCCTTGTCCATGTGCCCAGAGATACATTCTCCTACTAGCAACACAGCGCTGAAAACACTCCTGCGAAATGTTTTCAAGAGAACCCAAGAGCCATGTGTGAAACATGTTAATTCAAAATATGCAGAGTGTATACATATCAAGTTTCATAATAAAAATGAGTTCGCTAAAGACCCTTCTGCTTCAACAACCTCTTAAGAGACAAATCGTTGGCACCTCAGAAGAAAGGCACTAGACAAACATGATGAACATCAGTACAGAAACTACATTCACATTAATCTACAGCTTGCCACTGAAATAGTAAGAGCATATGCACGTGTTCTTTCCCTCAAAATTCAGTACAAGTTTATGGATCTGAGAAACATGCACTACTATACAAGATGTAACATAAATCCTTATTTCAGAGAAGATGTATTAAGCTTCGGTTCTGAGATAGCTCACAGAACTAGAACAATTTACTTGATCACAACTAACAGAAGCAGAAATGAACCTATAGATTTTCTTTTAAAAAGAAGTTCTCTTTTACCACAAAGACTTGCTACTTGTCTCAGAAACCATTTCCCCTCTGGGGATACTCAGTCACTAGTACGTGATCGATAACTTCAGGTATTTCTGTATTTGCAGGGGCATAGCATGGCATGATCTCTATTAAAAATTCCCATAGTGTTTCCTGCCTAGTCTATATAAATGTTGTATATCACTCTAAGTACCGTAACATACTATAACAAGATGAGTCAAATGCAATTAATCAGTGTAAAAATATTAAAAGTAATCATTACTATATTTTTTTTTCAATTAGTCAAGAAATAATAGGGGTGTGAAGCCAAAGTGAAATAGGACCTAGATATTCCTTAAATTCCATTTTAGATCTGAAACTCATGATAAATATTCTTACCTCCCTCCCAATTTTGGTTGCACATTGGAGTCTTGTTTTTTGTGGGGTTTTTTTTGTTTGTTTTTTTTTACTGTAACTATAAAGCTTGGAGCAATTGCATTCTAAACACATTCACCTTCCCCCTCCCTCACCCCAATAACTGTGCACTTGTAATGATCTTATTCTTTTGCATTTGTACAAATCCTCTCCCACAGACCTGTTTTTCCTCAAATTTCCAAAGGCTATCATGACTGCAACAGCAGTCCATTGGCAAAACTCTCCATCCCCTATACCAAGAGTAGCACTAATGTTTGCTCTAAGTACAGAGAAAGTATTGGGCAGGTAGGTGGGGCAGTTCTAGTAGCTGCTATTCCATCAGCTCTCCTTAGGATCATCAGATTAAATTCTAAACTCTGAAATATTTTATCGAGTTGCATATTTATATTTTAAAACACATCAAGCACATAAAAATACAGTGAGTGCTCAGGGGTGATGAATTTCTAGGCACTTAATTTTCATTCTTTCCTACAGAAATTCTGTAAATTCTTCTAAGGATCCCATTAAGACACCAGCGTGTCATGGCCCATACCACCTCATGGCAAGGGCTACATGACACCTTTACAGCAATTACAGAAGTCTTTCAGAGTAATGAAGAGCCATTAAACTGTTACCATAAATTGTATTTTAAACAAGATAGATCACCTCAGTTGTACAATATTTGAGAAGAAATTTCAAATGTTTCTATAAACAGCAACAAAAGGAGCAACTTTTGTAGTCACAGAGAAAAGAAACTGCCACCGGGAGAAAGTAAGGAGCTGAAAGCTGAGTGCAAGGCTGTCAAGACTAGTAAAGTGCTCAGACAACTACAGTGAGAAAAGACTGGTGGATGGCGAAAGTTTAAGCAAAGGGAAAATGAAGAGACTTGTCCTTTCAAAAGGTTTGATTTCAGAAGATTTTTTTAATAATATATGCAATATTGATATGCGAAACCTTAATGATTCCCTCACATTTAAAATAAATATATGGGCTCTTTGGGCTGTAAAAGCATAAACGTATAACAAATTATAAAAACAAACTATGTATAGCTATTTAAGGGATTTATAGTAAAAAAATATAAATCAGTTTCCTTAATCAAGGGAGTGAGTGGTTAAATTGGAAGTGATAAAAGTCTAGCAAGTGCTTTGTACATGTCAGACACTATTTTGTGACTGTGGACATATAGCTACATCTACTTCAGTTTATCCACCTGAGCATAAGTAAAACAAAATAAGCATAAGTAAACATTTCTTTCAGAAGCACTTTGGAGTTTGCAGAAATGCAGTAGGAAAATGCAAAAAAATTATGAAGAGATATTAATAAGACTCCACTAACTCTAGAGGCACACTTCAACACGCCAGGTTATATATGTCACCTGATTTCTGCATTTTTTTCAAGCAGCTGAGGGCATTATATGACACCTCATCTCTTTAACGACTGCAGAGAAATGACAAGAGAATGAAACTGTAAATAAGTGAAAGATACATAAACAAACCTTTTTCATACCAGAAAGACTCTAAAAAATATTAGTAGTAACTGGCTTATGTTTATTTGGAATGACAAAGGTTTCTGGAAAAAACGTACTGTTTTGGTTTGCTTTCTTTTTTAACCAGAAGTCCTCACATTCACCTTACAACTTCATGGACAGATTACTGTGAGAACCGAGTAAAGAGTGTAATTTCC